AGAGAGAGAGAGAGAGAGAGAGAGAGAGAGAGAGAGAGAGAGAGAGAGAGAGAGATTCCTTAAACCACACATCTCACACAAAGCACAAGGATAATCTACTCGACAGCAGGGGCCTCGCTCCACTACTCTCCATTGATACATTTTTGAGTGTGGAGGGTCGCTCAACTTACTCTCAATGGCTCAGTCGAGGGTTGACGGAGAGGACCCATCGAGAGAACTAGATTTTTCGGGAGTCAGCAGGCTGCATGACACTCGAAAGTCCGGGACCCTCAACTCCCGACATGATATCGAGTAGTTACTGGTTAATTCTTTCTCTTCTTTTTCTTTTTTTGGCGTTTTTGTAATGGAAAAGAAGGAAAAAAACGTTGAAGAATTGCAAGTAACTTGTGCCCACTGGAGAGTTGAGTGGAGCTAGGCCTCGACTTCACCCGAAATTGTGAGTCTCTCAATTTTGGAGATGATCTGAGAGTAGTGAAGCGGGGGCCCAAGGAACATCTACTGAAAAGTTGACGTCAAGTCTGATGAAGACAATCACAAACTGGACAGGTCAGTTGCCAACTTAACTAAAAAGATATGTTGCGAGGTTTAGATTGCGCATTATTTTTACAAGAACGAGCTGCTGAAGGAGTTAAGGCTACACAGACTTGTCAGAACAACATGGTATTCTGAAATCAATAACGTGCTGGCCTATAGACAAACCTCATGCAGCAGAAACAAAATGACATCAGCAATGATGCTGGCCTATGTTCATCCCTGCACTCCCCACTTCTGTGGCCCCTTCCAACCCACAAGAACCCATGAGAGGCCTCTGACAACATGACAAAGCATGCAGCCAAGACGTCAGACTTGACACCATTCGCTGTACTCGTTATGTAAGAACAGCCAACAAGTCAAAAGTCCACGTCATCTGCACTCAAGTCCTAGACCAAGTTTCTTGCTGGTCATTCCGACCTGCCATTGCCCATCCTCCAGTGTAACTAACATGTAGAGGAAGGAGGGTGCAAGTGTGTAGTTGTCTTAAACCACCAGTACACCCGGGCCTGGAGGCTCTGCACTGCGCAGCAGTTTTTCCGAATCGCCAGTGCCGCACTTTTTTTCTTTTCTGGCTGGCGCTGCCAGCCATTGTGGTCTGGTAGGCCGGAGGCTTGGAATTTTCAGAGTGGGTGGCAAGCAAATCTCCACAAGGCTGGGGTCGTGTAGCAGCGGCTTAACTCCCATGTTCGCCAGGCTTTACTGACACATGGTGTAGGAAATTCGCTGAGCACGCTGTAGAGGTGGGGTAGCCGCAAGGAAGGGGTGCAACCAGGAAAAGCACCACTCCAAATTAGATCATACTTTCAACGAGAAGCATCAAGGGGTGCCCAATCCATATCCTACATAACGAAAGTGGGTAATTAAGCTTGTCGTGCAGTGCTTCCTTTAACAACCTTGCTGTCCTTGGTCCTGACACTGTTTCTAGCCATCAAGTTGCCCCTGACATACCACTTTCCACAGGGCCTCTTGACCTCCCAATCAACTGTTCTGGGAGTGGTGAGGTAATCCACCTAATTCCATTCAGGTGGGATGTGTACCCACCTGATGCCACTCGTACTCTTGTAGAGCGAAACAGATACTATTGCAAAAGCTTTGTCAGTGCATGTCATAATGCAGTCGCACACACCTGATATTGCCTGTCCTGAAACACTCTCTCTGTGGTACTGGTGTTCTCCTCCACCGTCTCTTTCAACTGAATGGCATTAACCTGACATTGCAAACAACATAATCCAAGTCAACATGGAAAACCATCAGCAGACCGCACCTTGCTATACCACACATGATGTCCCTATGAAAAAGCACCTCAGAACAGTCACTCAGGGTTCTGTACAGCGCATGCATTCTGATTGACATCACTTCGACAGTTGGCTGCATTAGGACCGGAAAGGAAATTTCGCTGCCTCAGCGGACAGGCCAAGAGGCAGGACGTGGGTTCACCCCATCGGAGATTGGGGTATCTTTTTTGTGTCTCATAATTTTTCATTTATCTTTTTTTGAGTGAGAAGTAATGTTTTCATTTGTTTGGTACAGAACAGGTCCTCTTCTATCGTTTTCAATTTTTTAAATTTGTTTTGCAGATAAACTGGAAGACTCGTCTAAAAATTGCAGCCCATTGACGTCGTCAATGTTCTCACTGGAGGAAACCAAACCCCCACACACATACAAGCACACACGCCGAGAGCACAAAAGAGAGAGAGACCAAATAGAGATGAGTGGAACTTGCAGTGATCCCTTTCCTCTCCGTCAGTTTTTCATCATTTGTTTCGTTATGTCCCTGTACAGTATCTTTTCTGTGAGCCATAGGCGAGATTGAGAATTTTCCCTCCCATGGAGAGGGATGCTCAATCTCACCTGTTGGCCAACACCGCAATGCAGAACCATGTGGGATAGATTGCAGCCCATTGACGTCGCCAACGTCCTCACTGGAGGAAACCAACCCCCCCTCCCCACACACATACAAGCACACACACGTCGAGAGCACAAGAGAGAGAGAGAGAGAGAGAGAGAGAGAGAGAGAGAGAGAGAGAGACCAAATAGAGATGAGTGGAACTTGCGGTGATCCCTTTCCTCTCCGTCAGTTTCTCATCATTTGTTTTGTTATGTTCCTGTACTCGAACTAGAGTATCTTTCTGTGAGCCGAAGGCAAGATTGAGAATTACCCCTCCCATGGAGAGGGATGCTCAATCTCACCTGTTGTCCAACACCGCAATGCAGAACCATGTGGGATAGAGAGAGATGTGATAACCCGTCCAAACACGGACTGAAACACAGCTGATTTCTGAGTTTTGCTCATAGACTGAATGCCCTATTGAGTTCCCCGCCTGCTAAGTCTGTGTGTGTGTGTGCTTGCTGGACTGCATGTCTGTCTGAGTGCTGGTTGGCTTGCGTGTGTGTAACTGTGCCTGTCTGACTGCTGGTTGGTATGAGTGTGTGTGTGTGGCCCGCCAGGGCACTTGTTCGTTCGTTGGGCCCTCACGGCCGGTACTTACCTGTGGCCGTGGCTTCGAAGGGTTGCAGCAGGGAAAAAGCACTCAAGTAGCGGGTAGGCCGGTACCGCACCCGGCAGGGGGGTAAATATGCAGGTACCGGAGGCCGAGCAGAAGAAGACAAAAGTGGCATTTTTAGAGGCCGGTAGTGTACGCTAGGTCTAGCGGGTACCAGTCTGATGCTAGGGCCTGTAGGGCCAATATCAGAGTCTGCAATGATGTTTCCCTCCAAAAAAGGAGGTACCGGTTGCTTGGGAAGGCGAGGGGCCTGGAAGTCACCGCCCAAGAGGCAAAGCAGTCCGCTATATCTTCAGGCCAGGCGGAAGACCCGTCCTCTTTTTCGGTGTGCAAGTTTGGCGACACACTGGTGGAGCGCTGGCTGGAGCAGCGCTAAGCTGGAGCAGCGCTGCTGGGGAGGAAGGAGAAGGACATGAGGGAGGAAGGAGGAAGGAGGAAGGAAGGGGGAGGAGCGCCAGGGGTACTTACCTGGCTATGGTGGCAGCCATCTTCATCACCTTGGTGGGCGCTGCAGCAAGGAGTCCCCAACTGGGGAGAGCTACACCAAGAAGCTTCAAGGCAGGGTTGGGCATGGCGGCCTGCGCTAGAGCAGCCATAGCTGCTTTGGGTTGTCCTTTGGACGTCTGGGCAAGGCCTAGTAGTCCGCCATAGCCTCGGCCTATGAGAATGAAGAGAGAAGGGAGGCGGCCATGGCTATGGTGGACCTCAAGTGATACCTGCAGCAGAAGAGGAACTCGGACATTGATTCTGGACCAGTCATTCAACATTGTATTATTGTTTCTTGTATGAATAAGGGAAGAGGGAGATGAGGAGGAGGAGATTGTTGGGCGAAGAAGAAGAGCCTTGTCATTGTCTTTGCTGGTGTACATCTTCTTCTTCTTCTTTCTTACTTCTTCTTCTTCTAATCCTCTCTCTCCTCTCAAGTTCATTCATTTCTTTCTGCAATTAGATGCCATTGTACTTTCTGGTGGATGTGTATCTCGAAATTGGCAAGGGACATAACAGAGAGGAGGAAAGGGGGAAGAGAGATGGGAGATCGTGGGAAATACAACATGGTCAGGACGGCACAAGGGAGAAGGTTGTCACATCGATGAATCCCATCTGAAGCTCTCCTCCTCCATCACCTGACAGACCAACTTACTGGATAACTTAAAACCGACTGACTGCGCAACTGCCTGACCATCTGACCATCACAAATACAACAAAAGAGACACAGACTAGGAGGCAAGGTGCCAAATGCAGATGTGAAAGCGCATCGGATCTTCATTCGAGAATTGCATGGCTACCCATCTTGCACAAAGATTCCCAGACCGCCACATCCAACTGACCCACAAGCCATTCGGTCAGGTCTGGGTTTAAATTAACCTACCTGGATGCGACATGGGTGGGTCCAGGTAAGCCAGCCTGGGTGGGTGACAGGTGGGTCGATGTTTGACTTGGGTCAACCGAGCGAGTGAGTGACAGGAGGGCGAGTGTTTGGCAAGGTCTGACCACCGCAAACCCCTGACAGACGAACTGACTGGATGACTTAAAACTGCCTGATCGAGTAAATCGGTAACCAGCTGACTGAGTGCATGACTTGCTGCACAATCCATTGGAGAACCTGGAGCTCAATGAACTCTTCAAACTTTTCATACCGGAGGTGTTTTTATTGGTGATATAGCTCAGTAAGTCAGGTCGATAATCGAGCGGATGTTGATCCCTAGAATCCACTCCATTTAAGTCCATTTACATCTGGAACAGTCCTCCCTTTTTCTTCTTACCTTGATTCGAAACAATGATGCAGTGAAATCCTCATTGAAAGAGAAGACGTCATCATCCTCCACATCCCGGCCTTTAGGAAACTGGTCATTCAAATCCACAAGCATTCAAACAGGCAGAGGTGCATACAGCCCAAGCACGAACACACCCCAGATCAGTAAATAAGATCAAGGTGCAGATTACTGAAAGTTATCTAGGCACAGACTGCAGCACAGATGTTCAGGCAAAAAACAAAGTGGCACAAGAGTTCAGGTATTTGGAAAAACTCGGGAATACATCTAATGCACAGAACAGATGGTAAAAGGACTCCGGATCGTCGTGTCTGTAGAGAAGTAATTTCTTTACTCCTCCCAACAAATAAGCATCTTCCCAGATTTATTTTCTCCCCATCCCCTTTTGAAACGGTTAGCCACCTTCCCACAAAGAAGAAGGGGACCAAAAATGAAATAAGAAATCCTGCAACAACCTCTCTTTGGGAATTGATTTACTAAAGGACCAAGACCGGAAGACATGGTCCCTCAACGGAAAGGGAAAGAAATGGAGAACATGGATAGAAAGGAAAACACTTATGGGACGAACAAAATGGCAAATGGAAGTCAGAGGGGGACGTTAGGAACAAACTAAAAGGCCACCACAATCTGCAGAAGAACCTAGAGGAGCTAATTGAAAGCATCCCAATTGCCTGGAGAGCAACGCTAAAAAAGGAGAGAGTCTGGAAGAAGGGCGACTGGGCAACCCTGAAGACGCAGGACACTCCCTCGGTGGGTCTTCGCTACTCGGAACCAGACAAAAGTACTGCTCTCTTTGAAGTACATGAACTGGAGGACAAAAACAAATCAATAGTCACAATCAGGGCACTAGAATTCAACACCAGAGATGTGCATAAAGTCAGAGAACTAAAAAACGAACAAAAAAGGTCAAAGAAAGGGTGAGGAAAGGAGGAAGCCCCCATCCGGCTGTTTCATCCTAACAAGGACATCTCAGAGCTAGAAGTGGACCCTAATGAATGGGGATGGTACGAGAGGAGGGGACGAGGTAGAGCCCAAAAGTGGACCACATTGTACGAATACACAGTTAAAAAATGATACAACGTTAGATGCAAGGCAGAGAACCCGCAACCCGTCATAGCGGCAAGATGGGAAAA